GTGACCTCTGACCCCATCAGCGCCAAACCGCCAGTGACCCCAGCGACCTCTGACCCCGGGGCCAACGAGAACCAGCTGCCCTAGGTGTTGGTTCCTTGACCTGTGACCCGAGGCCCTAGGCGCGCCAACCTTCCCAACCAATGACCTGCAAGTAATTGTCTTGACCTTTGACCCTGCTTATTTGCCAGCAGCAGGTCCAATTACAGCTTATTTGATGACATGCGTTGACTGATGTGGGCCGGGGGGGCGGGGGCGGGTCCTGGGATGGCAGTGACACAAGAGTGGGGGGATTTTTTATTGGCCCAACTTGTTGATGGGAAAGTTGACTTTTGTGATCTATGACCTCCCTCTATGGACCCTGAGAATGACCCCATCCCCCTAGAGCCAGGAGAGAACCCAGGCGTCCTGGCTCCCAGCCCCCCCTGCTCTGACCACTAGGCACAGGATCGCCGTGTTTGCTCTGTAAATCTCTGGGCTGGGCCTTCGGGGGAAGCACAAACAAGCCCAGGGCACGAGCATGGGGCTGGCCTGGCCCCGCTGGCCGGGCACGATGGGGCGAGGAGCGGGAACCGCAACCAACAAGGGCTTGGGGCCAGACGCAGCCGCGGGCATCAGAAATTCCTTCCGTCAAAGGGTGGACGAGTCTGCCACGGCCCAGAGACGGTGCTTTTCCGCAGGGGTCTGGGCTGGCTATGATACCGTTAGGGGGAGCTGTGCTCGGGGTGGGGGGAGCTTTCAGACGTGGGGCTCAAAGTGCAGTTCCCTGGCCGAATCGCAGCCCAGAAAGTGGGGACTTCCTCCTGGACTGCCCCATCCTTAAGCCCCTCCGTTTTCAGTGTAAACCGACGTTTACTGAAAAATTCCTGGATTTTACAAAAAGTACTGTTCGTTTCCCCCCCCCCCCGATTTCCCCCCTGCTTTTGTGCCATGCCGATGGATAAACTAATAACGGGTTTGAGGAGGGAAAGACAATCCACATGGCATGAGAGCGCTGTATTGCGCGACGACATGAGGCCGGGTGGCCGTGCAGAACTGCCCGTTGAAGTGAGTCTAGAGAAGATAGACACCCGGGGGCGCCCGCCAGCCTGCTGGACGTACCGAGGAAGCGCCCGCCTGCCCGCCCACCCGCCACGCACACATATAAGTCTGCCCCAGTAAACGCTCGACCACTGAAAAGTTTTCACTGGGGAGCAGAGCTGGAGCGAGAACACGTTGTGTTTTGAGTGCGGGTTTAGTTCGGCAGCAAACCGCATTGAGGAACAGAATTCAGAGCATTAATCCGCTGGGTGCTTCCCCCGACCCGTTGTTCCGTCCAGCAAAATCAAAATGATTCATCTTTTTTGCATTGATTTTCACCCGGTTTTGTTGTGCTGGTGATGAACAACACTGATAAATTCCCGGGGGAAATGAAATCAAAGAAACACTGAAAACAAAGGGCCCTACACATCCAGCTGTTCCAGGGTGCTGGCTAAGTCCCCGTGCCCCTCCCCAGAGGCAGCCGCATCCCAGCACCAGGGGAGGGGTCCCCATATAACCAGCCCCCTGCCCCACCCCAGAGGTGAGGCCCTGAGCTCACTTGAGGATGGGGGGGGGGCAATGCCTGGCCTGATGGGCAGGGACTGGCTGGCTCAGGGGGGAAGGGAATGGGGCACAGGGCCTCTCCCCTCTAGGGGGCGCCAGCTCCCATCCGGCCCCAGGGCAGGGACTGGCTGGCTCAGGGGGGCAGGGAATGGGGCACGGGGCCTGTCCCCTCTAGGGGGCGCCGGCTCCCACCCCAGCCCCAGGGCAGGGACTGGCTGGCTCAGGGGGGCAGGGGATGGGGCCTGGGGCCTTTCCCCTCTAGGGGGCGCCGGCTCCCATCCGGCCCCAGGGCAGGGACTGGCTGGCTCAGGGGGGCAGGGAATGGGGCCCGGGGCCTGTCCCCTCTAGCGGGCACCAGCCCTGATCTGGCCCCAATCTGCTGTTATCAATAATTATTGATTATTATCCATAGCTGGTTTCTAATCATTGCTAATTGCTTAGTTCTCTGAATGTTATCAACAGTGACCTGCTAATGATCACTGGTTGCTCCTAACTGTTAATTACTCACATATCCATAATTAATGGTTAAATGTTAGTAAAGGAAATATATTAACGATTTGCAGTAGGTGCTAATTAGCCACCGGTCGTTAATCACAATCCCGGATACTGGATTACTAAAGTGCCACCAGGCTAAACGGACAAAGTAAGAGAAGCCGTGAGGGGCAAAAAGGCGTCTTTTACAGTGGAAGATAAATCGTAGTGAGGAAAATAGAACGGAGCGTAAACCCTGGCAAAGGAAGTGTAAAAATGTAACTAGGAAGGCCAAAAAAGATTTTGAAGAACAACTCGCCAAAGACTCCGAAAGTAAAGCAAACATTTTGTAAGTAGATCAGAGGCCGGGACTGGGCTCTTTGGCAATCTGGAGAAATTGATTACCTGGTGTGACAAGGGGGGGGGGGGGGGAGTTTTCACAATATTTTGGATGAAAATCGTGCGTGCCTCAGTTTCCCCCCCACACACACCCTCCCGTGCTGCACATTTAACCAGGTGGCGGGAGAGGGTTGTTGACTGTCCGCAGAATCTCAGTGGCTGCTTCGATGGGCCAGACAGGTGGGGCCTAGCAACTAACAGCCCGGGACCCATATCCCACCGCCGGCTGAGAGTCACTGACGGCTCAGCTGCGGGGGCATCACTCCCGGGGGACGAGCTTCTCCCCCAGGTGTCCCATCCAGGGGCACTCGCTGCAGGCGGCTCCTGGTTAAACCTGGGGGGGGGGCTGCAGGCTCCCAGGAGGCGGGGAAGCGGAGGGGCTCACCCCAGTGATAGTGTGACCCTAAGGGGGCTGCTGCATGGCAGGGGTCCCCCCCAGGGGGCTGTTCCAGAGCCAGGCGAGAGCACCTGGCCGGTGAAGCTGTGACGTATGGTATTGGGTGGGAGCCGGGGGCGGGGGTTGCAGGGTTGGGAGTGACGGGCACTGGCAGGGCTGGGGGGGAGAGCTGGGTTAGCAGAGGCTGTGGGGCGGGAGTGAGAGGCACTGGCAGGGCTGTGGGGGTCAGGGCTGGGCTAGCAGAGGCTGTGGGGCGGGAGTGAGAGGCACTGGCAGGGCTGTGGGGGTCAGGGCTGGGCTAGCAGGGGGCTGTGGGTCGGGAGTGAGGGGCACCAGCGGGGCTGGGGGGAGCCCAGGGCAGGGTTAGCAGGGGGGCTACGGGTCAAGAGTGAGGGGCATCGGTAGTGTTGGGGGGGACCCCAGGTTTGGGATAGCCCCCCAGTGTCTCCCAGGGGCATCAGGGTCAGGCCTGACAGCCAGGGGAGAGCGCCCCCTGCTGGGCCCCCCCCCTGCCCCGCCCCCTGTAGCTCAGCGCCCCCTGCTGACCCCCCCCCACCCCTGTTGATTTCCGGCCTCTGATCAATGAGGAAAGTGGGTGAATTCTCCTGTTGCCAAGGCAACAAAGTATCAACTTCAAGCGTTGCTATGACGCCGGGCGATTTCCCCATCTCGTTCCCATGGCGCCGGTGTTGCCCTGGTGCGACTCACGCCAGATCATCTGGTCTGCTGCGAGTCCAGCTCTGGGAGGGAAGCGGGGGCTAGTGGTTAGAGCTGGGGGGGGG